CCTTATGCGGAGGAAGCTAGTTGTCGTGGGATTGGAGCGGTGGCTGCTTTGTCGAGCTTTCATGTCTCTGTCTGGTTAGTTGCTCGTCGGCAGTTCGGTGGGATACTGTCGCTTGGGATCAATGGGAGGAGGGACATAGACCAATGTTTGCAGAGGTTGGCTCGACTATGGATGTAGAATAAGATTGGTCAGTGTCGCTAGGAAATCAGCATCAGCTCGCGGCCGACTTGAATAGCACAACATCTACTATCAGTTATCAGACAAAGTTTAAAAGGGAAATACTCCTGACGACGAAAGCGCTCCATCAGTTGCATTTCCCCTCCTTTTCTCGCGCTCAACATTCCGCCAGCCACCCATCTCCTCCATAGCTTGATTCATCCCGTCCGTACTTAGCTGGTGCGTCTCGTCGTCGCGGTGGCGGAGTTATGGTCGATCACCCATCCGTGAACATCCACTTGCAGGCGTCTCCCCCTCCTTTCCTCACGCATCGCCACTACCACACTACAGAACGCTCGCCGCTCGCCGAACTCCCCGCGTACGAAAAGTTACCTGCGTGTGCGAAACCGTGCGACAGAGACACCCCGAAAGCCGTTTTCTTTATGACATGTCGGCAGAGCCCCGGGCCGATGACGAAATCTCCTGATAACCTGACTCCGCTACTACCATGCCCCGATAGCCCAGTAACACCTGACTGTAAACGGCAAGCGAGGAAGCTACAATCGGGGAAAGCCCGGGGGTTGCTAACGCCGAGTTCGATACCAGAAGCGAGTAAATGGTTTTCGCGGAAATGGCAAGAAGGGCGGCGCGTTGCGCTGTTGAGTTTCCGCGCGTCCGTGTTTCTCATCGTTATCGGTTTCACCATGGTCGCCTTTTCGTTCAACGCCATCCCGACTGCACACCATGTAAGCACGCGAAGGTTCTCATGTCGAATATTTCCCCCGTTCAGCCCCGTCCCTTCCCCATTTCCCGCGCCGGCTTGTTTAGTTTCCTTTTTATCGTTATTGCCCCTGTTACATGTCTGTGCCGATTCGCTTAAGCGTCTCGACGTTTTGTTTTCCGATTCTCCTCTCTTCTTTTCCAGACCGTCAGCCTTAAACCAACAAGCTCTATCGAGGAACGAAGCGGGCCAAAGTCGTTCTTCGGTAGTGAGTTCGCGAGGGCGATTTTCGCCGAGTCGGGTTACAACATTGCAGCAGATTCGCAATCTGGGCCCTGTTCAACGTCGGGATCTGACGCAGGCTCGGCAGGTTCTGGGTCTGGAAGTTCAGGTTTGGCAGAGCTAGAGCCCCAGGAAGTCTCCTCCGAAGTACAAATACTATTGACTCGGCGGGGAGCGGATGTCACGGCAGAAATTCCGGCGAGAGTGATGCTCGAGGTTGACGGGAGTGACGGGTTGAGATTGGCGGAAAGGAGGGAAGGGGCAGATTACAGTGAGGCACAGGGGGAGGGGGAGGCGGAAGGGGAGGTGGAGGGCGAGGGGGAGGGAGGAGGGGAGGGGGAGATAGAGGCGGGAGACGCGGAGGAGAAGGGGAGCGGTGATTACAACGAATCGGCTGATATAGGCGAGCGAGCAGAGGGGGATTCATCGTCGTCTTCCACCTTCCCTTCCCCCGGGTCGTTCATTCCGCTTCCGCCCGTGTTGGCGGGAGATGCGCACCCTCCCCCCGCGCCCGTCAACGAGCAGTTTCTGTGGCGCAACCCGCGCAGCCACGGCTACGCCAAGTGCAATGCGGAGGGCAAAAAGGCACTCAAAGGTGAGGGCGGAGCAAGGAAGACGGGGAAAAGTTGGGGGAGGGTGCGGGGGTTTAGCAGCAAGGGAAAAAAGGCAGAGCGATGGCGAATACTCGCGCCGATTTGACTTCAAAGCACAGCGGGGCAATTTCCTACGAAACCTCAGCCCTCACTTTCCCCTTACAACTCCCGTAGCGGTTCCTCCCATGCTTTCCCCCCTCATCCCCAATACAGCTCCCGTCGCAGAGCCGTACTTTAACTTCCTTCGCCCTTTCCTGCCTTGTATCGCCCCTTTCCCAGGTCGTCACAAGGGCAGTCACGGCCCTCTTCACAATCGCCTGCGGGGTCGCCCGGCAAAATCCGCGGTAGAGCATGCGGCGCGCGCAATGGCAATGGCGGAGTGGGAGCGCAAGGTGCAGGATCCCGTGCGGCGAAAGCGCGTGCTTATATTGATGAGTGACACTGGCGGGGGCCATCGCGCGAGCGCGGAGGCTCTGAAATCGACGTTCGAGATGGAATTCGGCGACAAGTATGAAGTCAACGTCGTCGACATGTGGACGGATCACACGCCATGGCCGTTTAACCAACTCCCCAAGAGCTACAACTTTCTCGTCCGACACGAGACGCTCTGGAAAATGACCTACTATGCGACGAAGCCCAAGTTCGTGCACCAGCCGCAGATGGCGGCGACGTTTGCGTTCGTGGCGCGGACGGTGTCCAAGGGGCTGGATAAATACAAGCCAGACGTGATTGTAAGCGTGCACCCGCTGATGCAGCACATTCCGCTGCGTGTGCTTAAATCGAGGGGGCTTCTACACCGCATCCCGTTCATCACTGTAGTCACGGATCTCACCACCTGCCATCCGACGTGGTTCAGCCGACAAGTCAGCGTTTGTTTCTGCCCGACAAAGGAAGTCGCGCAACAGGCACTTAAAGCCGGACTCCAACCCTCGCAAATCCGTGTGCACGGACTCCCCATCCGCCCCGCCTTCGCCAAGCCCTCCGGACCTCAGGCTGACGTTCGGCAATCGCTAGGCATGGACCCGGAGCTGCCAGCGGTGCTGCTGATTGGCGGAGGCGAAGGCATGGGCCCAGTTGAGGTGACCGCAAGGGCTCTGGCAACAACACTGGCGCCGGAAACGCCAGGCGGGAGAGCGAAGGGGCAGCTGATTGTGATTTGCGGGCGAAACAAGCAGCTGCAGGCGACACTGGAAGCCATGACGTGGCCCATGCCGACACAAATCAAGGGTGTGGTTACCAACATTCCCGAAGTCATGGCAGCTTCAGACTGCGTCATCAGCAAGGTGTGTATAAGTGTTACACTGGAGCTGCTAATACTGTTCTTGCTCACTCAGCTCATTATGTTTGTTTGCAACTGCCTTGATCTATTTCTAGCATTGTACTCATCCTGTCACTCCCTCCCATTTGCCATCTTTCCACTTGTTTCCTGTACAGGCTGGACCTGGCACCATTGCTGAGTCGATGATCAAAGGCCTACCCATGATCTTGAATGGCTTCATTGCCGGCCAGGTCAGTGTACCTTCAAGTCTCTCCCTTCAGCAGTGGCTTGTTAATCACATGTATTTGCTGCTCTGTCCCAGTTTAGCTGCGTTTTTGTACTGCCTGCTCACCTTCCCTCTTTTCTGTTCCTTCTTTCTTTGTAACAGGAAGCTGGCAATGTTCCCTTCGTTGTCAAGAACGGGGCTGGGTTGTTCGAGGAGAATCCCCAAAAGATTGCTCACATAGTGGCCGACTGGTTTGGACCCAAGGTGGATCAATTCAAGCGGATGGCAACGAATGCTCACCGACTAGCCCGACCCGACGCGGTGTTCCGGATTGTTCGCGACCTCGACCAACTAGCAAACCGACCTCACACCCTTGATAACGTCACATTTGCCTACTCTTGAACCACGCATGGTTGGTGGTGGCTCCCTTGTGTGGGGACTGTTCTTTTGTAGAGAAGCTGCTTCGTTATCCACTTTAGATGCGCCCGTTCCATTCTAACCATAGAATGCCTTGCTGAAGCTGCGAGGTTTTGTACGAAATTAGCAAGCGCATGGTGGGGAGGGTGTAGCATGGTGCTACCGTAGGACCTCTGCCATGCTAGTGTATGTTTCCAGGATTTTAATTGCATCTGATTCATTATATCTCCAATATGAAATACAAACGGTAGTTCCATTTAAAACTGAAGGAAAAGCTGGGTGTTTTGGGTTTTGTCACCGCCTCAAGGACTGGGGGGTGAGTTGTGGTGTGCGCAGCACCCACCTACAGTTACGTATTTTGGACGCCTTGCCTGTGACGATCTTCCTGGAATGCTGTAAACTTCCCTAGACCGAGGCAAACCAGCCTGGCATCTCGTCGTTACATTATCCCAAATTGGGACGAAGCAGGGACGCTCATTGGCTACGGTGACGACACACTCCCCCAACTTGACCAGTCGCGAAATGGTCCAACGACTCCATCAAACGGACAGTTGGATGCGTCGCACGAAAGTTCTTTGGCCAGAACTCATTTGTCCGTATGGTCGCTGCAATGTGGGACTGGATTGGATGGACGAATGGGAGGCACGAGTCCGAGCGGAGTCTGACCAGGTCGGGACTCGGGGATTGGGGGTAGGCAGGTATTTGGTGGGGAGGGGAGGTTGCGGCTGTGGCCTGAGGTGAGGAGAATCAATGAAGATTCGATGTGGGCAAGTGTTGTCCGGTTTCCGCGAATGAGAGAACAGCCGGCATTTGGCCATTGAGCTTTCTGTAGCGTACAAGTACACATCAGCCAAAGCATTCTGTTTACATGGCCATTGAGTTTCTTGTTTCCAGCATTCTGGAAGGAGGGCTGTTAGAACTGATAGCACAACTTGCACAAACGCGAATAGCTGCGAGTCAGGGTCAAAGCAGGTCATCGTCAACGATTGACTTCGTTCCTAATGGGAGAAGCTAGGATGGGTGCAGGTGGGTACAGGTTGGGTCGGGAAGCATGACAATTGAAGGCAACGGGAGGTACTTCTGTGAGTTCGTTCGGGTTGTACAGGACGAGATGGATGGATTTAGATCCAACCAGCAGTGGCAAGATGGCAACGTTTCACCACAAGAGTTGTTTCTTGCTCATATCAGTCTCAGAAGTCACAGGCAGCTTTAGCCATGGTAATACGAGGCTCTCCAAGACTGGCTACACATTACACAGGTTTATTCCACAAGGCAATAGACACAAAGAGCAATAAAAAAAAAACACTAGGGATGCACTCTAAGGGTACACATACAAACAGGAGCAAGTTACACATTCTTGGAGGCCACAATACTTTGAGTGAGGCCATCCCTTATTTGTGCGGAAATATCACCCACGTTTCCTGGCCCATGTGGAATGAAAATAGTGGAAGACTTGTTGTTGGCTCCGATGTCCCTCATTGTGTCAAAGTACTGAGTCAGCATCACCTAGAGAAAGAGTAAAGTAATGCAGGTTAAGTTAGGAGGCAATCAGGTGATGCAGAGAGGGATGAGTTGAGATGGGATAAAAGCAACCAAGAAACAAAAATATGGCTAAGGGATTGAGTCAATGCAAGTCAATTTCAGGCAACACAACCCCCTGCCCGTTGTCTCACCATGTCAAGCACGTCCTTGGCGGTGGTTCCAGGAACCTGCGAGGAGAATCCCATCACGCTCTCTCGCAGCCCATCCACAATGGCCTGCCATGAACGTGCAAAGCGGAATACGTGGATATGTTAAAAGGGTTGCAAAGGAGTGAAGGGAATGCCCAGAGTGGTTAAAAGGATTGTTAAGGGGTGAGACAAATGTCTGGAGAGGCAGGTTAAAGGAAATGTGGGGGATTGTGAACGGGTGAAGGAACGTACGTGGTACCCATCCACTGTATATCCACTACCGTACCTGTCGCTGCCGAGCCACACCCACGCCAGCGAGGTACTTAGCCTCGGCGTCGCCCTCCGCCTTCTTGACCTGCAGAATTTTCTCCGCCTCCGCCTTCTCTTGCGTTGCCTGCCGAATGCGCTGGGCTGCACGGGGAGAGATGGAGAGGTAGGGTCAAGGGAAGAACGTAGGGTCAAAGAGGGTTCTCCGCCTTCTTGACCTGCAGGATCTTCTCCTGCGTCACCTGCCGGATGCGCTGGGCTGCACAGGGAGAAATGCGGGGGGAAGGAGAAGGGGGAGGGTGAGAGGCGGGAAGGTAGGTTCAAAGTGGGTGCAAGGAAGAATGGCTCATGAGTTGGCTCGCCTTCGCCTTCTCCTGCGTCGCCTGCCGAATGCGCTGGGCTGCATGGGACCAGGAAGGAGAGGGGAGGAGAGGAGGCACACGTGACGCATGACTTGGCCTAAAGACGTGTGACTTCCATAAACTGCATTGACTTTGACGGATCTGCGTTGGTTTCGTTAATGCGACTTTACCTCGCTCGTCCGGCTCCACTTCCACTATCAGCGTCTGCATTGACTTCCATTGACCTGTGTTGACTAGCTGGGACCTACGTTGATCTCTTTCATGGCGACCGTCCGGCTCCAAGTCCACTATCAGCGTCTGCATCGACTACCATTGACTTTCGTTGACTTTCACACGGACCTGCATTGGCTTTCACTGACCTGCGTTGATCTCGTTCATGGCGACCTTGACTCGCTCGTCCGGCTCCACGTCCACTATCAGCGTCTGCACGATGCGGTAGCCATAGTCGTGCATGGCCTGAGGCCACGGGGTATGCGGCATGGGGTACGAGGAACGGGGTATGGAAGCCACACTTAGGGTGTTAGCACCACTATCAGCGTCTGCACGATGCGGTAGCCATAGTCGTGCATGGCCTGAGGTCACGGGGGCATTGGGAATATTGACATACGGGCATAAAGCATGGGGGTTGGGGCATGGGGGCGGAGCGTGGGGCATATAGCAGATGGCATGTGCATGTGGCATGTGGCCTGTGGCATGGGGCAAGGGGCATGTGGCATCGGGCAAGGGGCAAGGGGCATGTGGCATGTGGCATGGGGCGTGGGTCATGTGTCAAACCTTTTCAAGCTCCTTTTCCACGTTTTGCGCGATCTCGTTCTTGGATATGAACACCTCGTCGAGTTCCATCTTGGGTACGCTGCTGCGCACGACTGCGCGGACAACAAACGAATAGGGAAATGGCGGGAAGGAGAGAGGGGGGACGAAACGAAGGGGGGACGGGGGGGGATGAAGGGGAGGGAAAATGGGCAGGTGCGTGTAAAGCAGGGCACATGCGGAAGAGGAAGAGCATGTTTTGCGCAATCTTGCTCTTAAAGAAAACGAAGGAAAGAAAGGAGGCCGCACGAAAAAGCGTCGTCGAGCGCCTTCTTTGGAGCATTGCTCCGCACGAAGAGAACACGAGGCACACGAACCGGAGAGGAGGGGAAGAGGGGGCGAGGAGGGGGGATGGAGGTGGGGAAGGAGGGAAGACAGGGAAACGCAAAGCGCAATTCTGTGCGCGTACCGTCAAAAACGTAGGAGCGAATTTGCGCCTGCGGATCGGCGAGGCGGTAGAACGCGTCTTCGACTTGCTCGCGGATGGCTTGATACTGAATCGACGCGACGACCGTCACGAACACGTTGTCCTTCGTTTTAGTCTCGCAGCGCACGTCGAGTTGGTTGATGCGAAGACTCATGAGCCCCGCGGTGCGGTAGCAGCAGCACCAGGGGACGCAGTAGCAGCCCGGGTCGAGCGCGCGGACGAACCGCCCGAAATGCTCGACCATCGCGACTGTTGATTGATCCACCTGGAGGCATCCGAGCATCTGATCCATGGCTGAGGCTCGACTTGCGCGTCCGGAACCGAAAGAGGGTGACTCCGGAAAGAGTATTTGATCTCTCCGAAGAAATAGGCGATGCGCGATTGGTTGTTGGAGAGAGGCAAGTACTTGGGTGGCGTGGAGTGGTACCACACGTGCGGGAATAACTGTGAGTAGCGTCAAACAATATTGGAAAAGAAAAGAACGAGAGCAATGTGCGTTTTCGTGCCGGACTCTTTATGTTATTTTTTTAAAGCCCAAGACCTGAATTACAAATCAAAAAGGGCAAACTGTGCACAGTTTGCCTTCCGAGCCCAATGAACACCTCCCGAGCCAGTGGGGTTACCAGAAAACGTCGCACCCCACAAAGACCGCGTCGTAGGGCAGAACGCTTCAACTTGGCGGGGGTTCCGGCCACCCCTGCTGAAGGAAGGAGGGAACTGCCTGTGCACAGTTTGCCTAGAAATGGTAATTCAGGAATGCCTGTGCGGCTACTAAGCGAGACTCTAAGCTTTTGCCCCTAGCACATTCCCACCTTCAACCCCGATGCAACACGAAATTTAGGAATGCGCTCGTCACAAGCGTAAAATGCTCGAATCCCATATTACGAGACGTCGCGCTAAACAGGATCAAGAGGCGTAGGGAGGAAATCCCCTCACATCGGCCTCCCCCTTGACGCACCGTCACCCTCGTTTCCCCCGTGGTCCCCGTCGCCATTGCCCTCCCATCGTCCTTACCCCTATCCCCTCCCATCGCTTCCTCGTCGTCGTGCCCCATTGCGGCGCTTCGTGCACCACTCCGCGACCACCCACTTTCAGCGTCGTCGTGTCCCCACAACGCCCCGCTATCCTGACAGTTAGGCCCACGATTCCACGCGCGGGAAGCCCGTTTCTCAAGCCCACGTTTCTCCTCCCTGCGCGCGCACCGTTCCGGTAAGCCCGCGCGGGAACCTCTCGCCACCCCGCGCGCGCTCTTCTCGCCTTCCGCGCGGTATCCCATCGCATCCCAGCGCGCGCTCCTCTTACCGCCCCGCTCGGCCTCCTCTCACCATCCCGCGCGTGCTCCTCTCGCCTCCCCTCGCGTGCTCCTCTCGCCTTCAATGCTCGCGAATCTCTTGCCTCCCCGCGCGGCCGCCTCTCGCCTCCCCGCGCAGCCTCCTCCCGCCATCCCTCGCGCGCCCCTCTCGCCTCCCCGCGCGTGCTCCTCTCTTCTCACCTACTCGTTCTCCTCTCGCCTCCCCTCGCGCGCCCCTCAAGCCTCCCCGCGCGTGCTCCTCTCTCCTCACCTACTCGTTCTCCTCTCGCCTCCCCTCGCGCGCCCCTCAAGCCCCCCCGCGCGTGCTCCTCTCTCCTCACCTACTCGTTCTCCTCTCGCCTCCCCTCGCGCGCCCCTCAAGCCTCCCCGCGCGTGCTCCTCTCTCCTCACCTACTCGTTCTCCTCTCTCTTCACCTTGCATGCCTCCCACGCCTCCCCGCGCGTGCTCCTCACTCCTCACCCTGCGTGCTCCTCTCGCCTCCCCGCGCGTGCCCCTCTCTCCTCACCTCCAATGCTCTTCGATCGCCAACCTTGCGCGTGCCCCTCTCTCCTCACCCTGCGTGGGCTCCCCTCTCCTCACCTTGCGTGCTCCCCTCTCCTCACCTTGCGTGCTCCCTCTCCTCACCTTGCGTGCTCCCCTCTCCTCACCTTGCGTGCTCCCCTCTCCTCATCTTGCGTGCTCCCCTCTCCTCACCTTGCGTGCTCCCCTCTCCTCACCTTGCGTGCTCCCTCTCCTCACCTTGCGTGCTCCCCTCTCCTCACCTTGCGTGCTCCCTCTCCTCACCTTGCGTGCTCCCTCTCCTCACCTTGCGTGCTCCCCTCTCCTCACCTTGCGTGCTCCCCTCTCCTCACCTTGCGTGCTCCCCTCTCCTCACCTTGCGTGCTCCCCTCTCCTCACCTTGCGTGCTCCCCTCTCCTCACCTTGCGTGCTCCCTCTCCTCACCTTGCGTGCTCCCCTCTCCTCACCTTGCGTGCTCCCCTCTCCTCACCTTGCGTGCTCCCCTCTCCTCACCTTGCGTGCTCCCCTCTCCTCACCTTGCGTGCTCCCCTCTCCTCACCTTGCGTGCTCCCTCTCCTCACCTTGCGTGCTCCCCTCTCCTCACCTTGCGTGCTCCCCTCTCCTCACCTTGCGTGCTCCCTCTCCTAACCTTGCGTGCTCCCCTCTCCTCACCTTGCGTGCTCCCCTCTCCTCACCTTGCGTGCTCCCCTCTCCTCACCTTGCGTGCTCCCTCTCCTCACCTTGCGTGCTCCCCTCTCCTCACCTTGCGTGCTCCCCTCTCCTCACCTTGCGTGCTCCCCTCTCCTCACCTTGCGTGCTCCCCTCTCCTCACCTTACGTGCTCCCCTCTCCTCACCTTGCGTGCTCCCCTCTCCTCACCTTGCGTGCTCCCCTCTCCTCACCTTGCGTGCTCCCTCTCCTCACCTTGCGTGCTCCCCTCTCCTCACCTTGCGTGCTCCCCTCTCCTCACCTTGCGTGCTCCCCTCTCCTCACCTTGCGTGCTCCCCTCTCCTCACCTTGCGTGCTCCCCTCTCCTCACCTTGCGTGCTCCCTCTCCTCACCTTGCGTGCTCCCCTCTCCTCACCTTGCGTGCTCCCCTCTCCTCACCCTGCGTGGGCTCCCCTCTCCTCACCTTGCGTGCTCCCCTCTCCTCACCTTGCGTGCTCCCTCTCCTCACCTTGCGTGCTCCCCTCTCCTCACCTTGCGTGCTCCCCTCTCCTCACCTTGCGTGCTCCCCTCTCCTCACCTTGCGTGCTCCCCTCTCCTCACCTTGCGTGCTCCCTCTCCTCACCTTGCGTGCTCCCCTCTCCTCACCTTGCGTGCTCCCCTCTCCTCACCTTGCGTGCTCCCTCTCCTCACCTTGCGTGCTCCCCTCTCCTCACCTTGCGTGCTCCCCTCTCCTCACCTTGCGTGCTCCCTTCTCCTCACCTTGCGTGCTCCCCTCTCCTCACCTTGCGTGCTCCCTCTCCTCACCTTGCGTTCTCCCTCTCCTCACCTTGCGTGCTCCCCTCTCCTCACCTTGCGTGCTCCCCTCTCCTCACCTTGCGTGCTCCCCTCTCCTCACCTTGCGTGCTCCCTCTCCTCACCTTGCGTGCTCCCCTCTCCTCACCTTGCGTGCTCCCCTCTCCTCATCTTGCGTGCTCCCCTCTCCTCACCTTGCGTGCTCCCCTCTCCTCACCTTGCGTGCTCCCTCTCCTCACCTTGCGTGCACCCCTCTCCTCACCTTGCGTGCTCCCCTCTCCTCACCTTGCGTGCTCCCCTCTCCTCACCTTGCGTGCTCCCCTCTCCTCACCTTGCGTGCTCCCTTCTCCTCACCTTGCGTTCTCCCCTCTCCTCACCTTGCGTGCTCCCCTCTCCTCACCTTGCGTGCTCCCCTCTCCTCACCTTGCGTGCTCCTCTATCCTCACCTTGCGTGCTCCTCGATCCTCACCTTGCGTGCTCCTCTATCCTCACCTTGCGTGCTCCTCTCTCCTCACCTTGAGGCCTCCTCTCTCCTCACCTTGCGTGCTCCTCTCTCCTCACCTTGCGTGCGCCTCTCTCCTCACAATACATGCGACCATACTGGATTAAAGGGAGGGACCGTCTCCTTGCGACGCTTCGTGAAATGGCTCCGCTACCACCCACTTTCGACGTATGCGGGTCCCTACCACTTCCCACTATCCTGACAGGGGCGCCCACGTTTCCTCACTCGGGAATCCCGTGCACACGCACACGTTTCTCCTCCCAGCGCGCGCACCTGCCTGGTAAGCCCGCGCGAGATCCTCTCGCCTCCCGCGTGCGCTCTTCTCGCCACTCGCGCGGCATCCTATCGCCCCCCCGCACGCGCTCCTCTTGCCTCCCCGCGCGTCCTCCTCTCACCATCCCTAGCGTGCTCCTCTCGCCTCCCCTCACGTGCTCCTCTCTCCACACCATGCGTTCACCTCTTTCCTGTACCTCGCGTCCTCCTCTCTCCTCACCTCGCGTCCTCCTCTCTCCTCACCTCGCGTCCTCCCCTCTCCTCACCTTGCGTGCTCCTCTCTCCTCACCTCACGTCCTCCTCTCTCCTCACCTCACGTCCTCCTCTCTCCTCACCTCGCGTCCTCCTCTCTCCTCACCTCGCGTCCTCCTCTCTCCTCACCTTGCGTCCTCCTTTCAACTCACCGCACGTCCACCTTTCTACTCACATTGCGTCCTCCTTTCCTCCAAATCACCAACAGTGAGGATCTAGGAGGCGTGAGGGACTTCACCTTCTCTCTCCACGCTGCCTCCGCGTCTCGCGACAGCCTCCGTTGGCGTCGCTGATCGCGTCTTTTGCCCTCACCCCCGCCCACACTCTTGCAACGGCGGTGCTTCCGCAGTCCCCCTGCACGCCCGCAGAAAACCCTCGTTGCACGCCCTCTATTTCCCACATGTACGCCCTCGCTCCCCCTCTGCTCCTCTTGTCCCCCTACGCTCATCTTACCCCCTTCCGCTGGTCCTTCTCCTTTCTGCACCACTTCCAACCCGAAGCTCCGCTGTTCCCCCTATGCCCCTCTTTTTCCGCCCAGCTCCACTTTTCTCCTGTGAGGCTCCTTCGCTCTCTGCTCCTCTTTCCCTCCTCTGCTCCTCTTGTCCCCCTCTACTCATCTTTGCCCCCTCACTCCCTTCCATCCCACTCAACTGTCACCCTCCCTCCCTGTTTATCACCCTATTTTTTGCCTCGCATCCCAAATGTTCTGACACCACCCTCCTCACAGCTTCCCCACATTGGGATTCCCACCTCATTATTCATAGTTTTTGAGTATTCTGTCTTCAAATCTGACATCCATCACTAGCCATCCACAGCACCTTGACATCAATTCTGCAATTCCCTCCCTCCCATCCGCACTTCCCCCGTCCCCTACTACGCCAGCTCACTCGCCCCGATCTTCTGTTGCTACTCAAGCGCCCGTGCACCCGACGCCGGTTCTTTAGATGGGAGCCCTCCCCCCTTCCATCTCTGCACCCCTACCTTCCCAACCCCCAGCCGTCCCATTTCAAGAACCTATTACACAGTCTCCATCCCTAATCTTCCTGCCCACACAGGTTCAATATGGTCCCTCGGTTGATGCTTCATTCCTCTCGTGCTCTCCCTGCCTTATCTTTCCTCCAAATCACAGCCCCTTAACACTACTTTCCATCACCCCTATTAGCCGTCCCATTGCCCTTTTCCACACTGAACCATCACTCTCCCTTTCCTACTTCTCTCACATTAGTTTAGGGGTTTAGGGTCCCCGCGTCCCACAAGCTCATACGCGAGCACCCTCACCGCCTTCCCATGTTGGAAATCCCCCTGCATTATACCGAGTTGCCGTGGGTGCCATTCTAGCTCCCATGCCGTCCCCTTTCTGGGTTGCCCATCCTCAATCCCTTCCATCCCACCTCTCCTCTCTTCCATCGCAGCACCCTCGCATCCTGAGTTTCTGATTAGCCTTACTTCCCATCTGCCATCTCTCCCTTGCCATCCTCCGAACCTCTTTGTAATTAAATCTGCAAACCCCTCTTTCCCATCCGCACTTGCCCCGTCCCCTCCTATTCCTCTCCCGTCACCGGCGCACACATAGTACCACTATTCCTCTCACTTCTCCTCTTTCCCATCCGCAATTGCCCCGTCCCCTCCCATTCCTCTCTCTTCCCCTTTCTTCCTTTGCTTCACAGCGGCCTGTGAACCCGGCTTCAGTCCTTGCGCTGTAAGTCCACGCCCCTTTATTTCCCAGCACCCCTACCTTCACTCGTGGTTTTGGTTTGGCACCCCTTTCTTCCTTTGCTACGCTGCTCCAAACCTTATCAGAGTTCGTTCTCATGGTCCTCCGATCCGGAGGACCAACTATACGGTCTCCTTCCCTCGTCCAGCTGCTGGACCTGTCGTGTAGTTCCTGACCTGCCCACCCTCCCCTTCACATCCAACTCACTTCAGTGACTTGCGTAATCCGAAACCGAAGCCCCCCCGCCCCCTCCCCTTTCACTCCCTAACCCCTCTCTCTCTCTTGTTTTTCTGCCTGATATAGGACGAGAGGAAGGAAGGTCGAGACGCAGGGCGGATGAGAGGAAGAGAGGATGAGAGGGAGACAGGATGAGAGAAGGGAGGATGAGAGGAAGGGTGGATGAGAGGAAAGGAGGATGAGAGGAAGGGCGGATAAGAGGAAGGGAGGATGAGATGAAGGGAGGATGAGAGGATGGAGAGGTGGAGGAAGGGCGGATGAGGGGGAGGGAGGACTCGAGGGAAATGAGTGCGACGGGAAGGGAAATGAGGGCGACGGGAAGGGTAATGTTTGCGACGGGGAGGGTAATGGGGGGTGACGGGAAGGGAAATGAGGGCGACGGGAAGGGAAATGAGTGCGACGGGAAGGGAAATGAGGGCGACGGGACGGGAAATGAGGGCGACGGGAAGGGAAATAAGTGCGCCGGGTCGGGAAATGAGTGCGACGGGAAGGGAATTGAGGGCGACGGGAAGGGAAATGGGGGCGTCGGGAAGGGAAATGAGGGCGACGGGAAGGGAAACGAGGGCGACGGGACGGGAAATGAGGGCGACGGGAAGATGGAATGAGGGCGACGGGAAGATGGAATGAGGGCGACGGGAAGATGGAATGAGGGCGACGGGAAGATGGAATGAGGGCGACGGGAAGATGGAATGAGGGCGACGGGAAGATGGAATGAGGGCGACGGGAAGATGGAATGAGGGCGACGGGAAGATGGAATGAGGGCGACGGGAAGATGGAATGAGGGCGACGGGAAGATGGAATGAGGGCGACGGGAAGATGGAATGTGGGCGACGGGAAGATGGAATGAGGGCGACGGGAAGATGGAATGTGGGCGACGGGAAGATGGAATGAGGGCGACGGGAAGATGGAATGTGGGCGACGGGAAGATGGAATGAGGGCGACGGGAAGATGGAATGAGGGCGACGGGAAGATGGAATGAGGGCGACGGGAAGATGGAATGAGGGCGACGGGAAGATGGAATGAGGGCGACGGGAAGATGGAATGAGGGCGACGGGAAGATGGAATGAGGGCGACGGGAAGATGGAATGAGGGCGACGGGAAGATGGAATGAGGGCGACGGGAAGATGGAATGAGGGCGACGGGAAGATGGAATGAGGGCGACGGGAAGATGGAATGAGGGCGACGGGAAGATGGAATGAGGGCGACGGGAAGATGGAATGAGGGCGACGGGAAGATGGAATGTGGGCGACGGGAAGATGGAATGAGGGCGACGGGAAGATGGAATGTGGGCGACGGGAAGATGGAATGAGGGCGACGGGAAGATGGAATGTGGGCGACGGGAAGATGGAATGAGGGCGACGGGAAGATGGAATGAGGGCGACGGGAAGATGGAATGAGGGCGACGGGAAGATGGAATGAGGGCGACGGGAAGATGGAATGAGGGCGACGGGAAGATGGAATGAGGGCGACGGGAAGATGGAATGAGGGCGACGGGAAGATGGAATGAGGGCGACGGGAAGATGGAATGAGGGCGACGGGAAGATGGAATGAGGGCGACGGGAAGATGGAATGAGGGCGACGGGAAGCTTCTCACCATGCGATATGTGAAAGGCAGGCGCGACCAAATGGCGGGGAGGGGATTTCCCGGGCAGGGCGGGAGGCAAGATGCTGAGGTTGTCTCTAGCGCGTTTGTTTCTAATCGGCTCCGACGCACGGCGTAAGATGGCTACGCATTGCAGACGATGGATACGTCCGCCCTGTGACCTATGGGAAGCGAGCGTGGTCGAGTGTTTGTGTATTAGCCTATACTTTTAGACTCTCTGAATAAATCGCCAGTTCAGGCCTCGATGTGTCTCGCTAACTCACGCCCGCACTGGCATTTAGTAACAGCCTCCTCTATCCTCACCCTAAGCATCGCACTTTGCTGGTCCAGTCCACACGGACATTCGCTCCCTACGGCTATTCCGCGTATTTCTAGAATCTAAGGTGGCGCCCTGCTGAAGTGGACTAAGCAACTAATATGTTTGTTCGAGTGCATGTGTGGCTGCTCAAACTGTGCACAGTTTCCCTGGCACGTTGCTTCTCAGGTTTGTCGAGTTTGGGAAGAAGGGCCCTGCCTGCTTTTTACAACCAATCAGCATGTAGGGAGTTTGTGGCGAACTACTTTCAGTCGCAAAGTGTTTTTGAGGCTTCGCCTGTCACTCAACCCATCCGAACCTCCAACTGGCAGCCCGCCGAACCTAGAAATACTCAGTTGACTTCCGTTGAGTAATTCAGGTCTTGGGCTTTAACTGTATTTCAGAAAGTTGAGCTCACGGGAGAAGATGGGATGAAGTGAGAGGAGTGAGGAGGGAGGATTGCGCAAAGCGGGGTGCTGGCGGAGACGAGGAAGCGCGTCTCGCGGAGCCACTTGCCTTGCTAGTGGCGGTTGGTGGGTTTGTCTAACGCGGTGCTAACAGACGCGGAAAGCACACCTTACCGTACACGGCAGCAGAGCGCAGCACAACGTGCTCGCTCGCAGGTCCCAGGGAGGGGCAACTTCAAGAACGGCGCAAGCAACCCCCAAGGGGCCAACCTAAAAAAATTGCCGCGGTGCCGTAGCAGTGCCTGAGGGGCGTCTGTGTGCGCTTCTTGAGGCGCAGGCAGAACCCTCGAGAAGCCGTTCTTGAGAGTTGGGTCAGGGAGGGGAGAGGAAGAAGAATCAAGAAGGAACTCATGGGACGTAACGCGGTGATTGGAGGATGTTCGTCGAGCCGCACCTATGTCAAGGCGCAGTGTTGCATTTCCCAGGGAGCGACGTCCCCACGTTCCTCCTTGCCCACGGAAGTCGTGCGCACGCACGGCACGGCGATATCCCTCCCGTCCTAGGTTTTCGCGAAGGGGCCTGTTCCACGCAAACCAGTCCGCGTGCTGGCAGCCAATTGGCCACAAGATTTTGCTGACGCTGGAATAGCTGAGTTGGCAACTCCTTCACGCGATGCATTTTAGTATGACTTCGATGTAAGCAAGTGAACAAGCTGCGCATATTAGGGCGTGTAACCTTTTCCGTTACAGTTTGACTTTTTTAGATACATGTTTTTGGGCACAGACAAGTGAATGGGAAGTGTTCCGTTTTAGAACCATGTCCTTGAGTTCTGACACACGTCAACACGAAATCAAGCTGGGAGGGTTCTCTCATTGGCCAGAATTGGCGACCACATCAAGCATAGAGGCACCGTGTGATGGGCCCAGCGCACAGTGTCGCCTCGGCCTTCACACCCCATGCACGCTGCGAGGGGGCTGCACGGTATTGGTTAGGGGGTGCTCTACACCCAGTAGCTGGCACGTCCCTGTGTGTAGGCTGTACTTCACATCCTTCTCCTCTTGTTTCTTCCCCCCAACACTAGATAGGGGGTCTTATATTGTAAGGTGCCGAATAGGGGGGTATATCTCGACTAGACTTGAATAGAGTACCCCACCCCCCCCCCTCCCGTATTAAATACCTGGGGGTCTACAACTGGAGGGGGTCTCATATCCGGGGGTTTACGGTACCTTGGAAAACCATATCTTGAGAAGTTTTGGGGATGTGCTCAGAAGGAACCCTTAACACTCCAGCAGCTACCGTGCTAAATCATTTCAGCACACTATGACGAGACACAAATGCATCCAAAGTTCCATTACGGTCTACCTTTCCATTTCCAGAGCCATCCACCAACTTCCCTTTAGGGTTTAGGGCGCCTGCAACACATCTCAACCGCTTTCGTTGCTGTGTCCGAGTGTGCTTGCTCTCAATGCTTGCCGTCTCCCTCTTCAGAGGACGCGTCAGTTTAGAGCTCTTGGCAGCCCTGTTTTCCTCTGCTTCCAGCCTCAAAGCGAAGTGATAGTCACGGTGCTCTTCCACCCCCTCCACCTCAATCTGCTTCCCGCATTCGTCGCACCTCCACACCTCGCATGCAGAACTGTTCGATGTCCACGTGTCACATGCATTCGCACACGTGGTGTCACCAGCGGTTGCACAGTTTGCACCAAGGTCTATATCTGCAGGCTGACATAAACCACCTACCTCCTTGTCGACAGGCATCAAGTCTCGAACCACTTCTGCAACACCCCCACCATTCTGCATCACCAGAACAGAGTATTTCTCCTCATCTCCATCCCTCACCTTCCGCCCCTCACCATCCCTCACCTTCCGCCCCTCACCATCCCTCACCTTCTCCCCTTCACCATCCCTTACCTTCCGCCCCTCACCATCCATCACCTTCTCCCCTTCACCATCCATCACCTTCTCCCCTTCACCATCCCTCACCTTCTCACCCTCACAATCCCTCGCCTGCTCTTCCACCGTAAGCATATTAATCTGCGCCACCTCACCCTGCATCACCTCCTCCTTGTCCTCTCCAGTCTCTTTTAAACCCATTCGAGGTCCCAGCCACCGTTCCAAATACCCACTCCCAGCCCTCCTCAGTGGCAACACCTGAGAGCACACCCTCTCACCACCCACTCTCCTTCGCATCTCATCTTCCTCATCTCTCCAATATCTCTGCTCCCTTCCCCACTGTACAACCTTCCCTGCCTTCACTCCTCGTGGCTTCACCCATCGATCCATACTCCCAGCAGCAACAGACCTCTCAAGTGGCAGCACCTGAGGGCGTCCATTTTCTTTACCGGATACCACGTCCCTTACAAACATCTCATCTTTCTCCCGTCTCCCATCTCTGTGCTTCCCCTCCCCCTGTAACATCTGCTCAACACCCCCTGCTCGTGGCTTCACCCACCGATCCATACTCCCAGCAGCATCCCTCCGCACTGGCAGCACCTGAGGGGAACCACTCTCCACCACACAAGCCATCCCACCACTCCGCGTCGCCCCTCTGTGTACCTCCGCATGCCTTCGAGTCAAATCTGTCGCTCCAACTACCACCTCCCCTGACTCTCCTCCTTGTGGTTTACGTTTGAGCCACGTGTGCAAGCTCCCACCGCCAGGAGCAACATCATCATCATCAGCAGCAGCAGCAGTGCCACCTGGCTGGCCAGACTGAGCCGGCTGAGAAGAGGAGACGAAATTCGTTGCACCCACGTTGATCACCATCACTGGGAGGAGCCGAAACGCGGCCTCTCCAGCAGCAGCAGACGCAGTAGCAGCAGCTCTGGAGTGTGTGGCAATACCTGCTGCACCGATAGCAGCAGCAGCAGAAAGTACTGGTACCATAGAACAGGATGCTGCATTATGGCTTGCTACTGCTGCACTGGTAGCAGGTGATGCTGCTGGAGAAGAAGGGAAGGCGCGGGCGAGGAGGGAGGAAGCGAGGTGGAGGAGAGAGGAGAGGCGTAGGGCAGGAGGGGTGGAGGGGGAGAGGGCTTGCACAGGCATGGGGCACGAGGCAGATGTGAACCTGCAGGAAGGACAATATTCCAACGGGATTGCAAGATAGTGAGATTTTTTTGGCACCTCAAAAGGTGCGGGGAGGCATGGGGCACGAGGCAGATGTGAACCTGTAGGGCGAATGGAGGTCAAGATAGAGAGATGGGGAGAGAGGAGCAAAAGTAGCACAAAAATGAAATAAAATTCACGTGGACGCTTCACTGGTTGCAGCAGCTGCTAGAGTAGAAGGGACGAAGGGTTGGATGGAGAGGGGAGGCAAGGGAGAGGAGGGAGGAGGTGAGTTAGAGGAGGGGAGGTAGAGGATAGAGGAGACGAAGGGTGGGATGGAGAGGGGAGGCAGACGTAAACCAGTAGGGAGATTGGTGAGTGAAACCTAGATAACACACCTTCTCATCATTCTCATCCTTTCCATCCTTCTCATGCTTCATAAGAACTCATATATACCCTTTCACACTACAGCAACCTCACCTGTACTCCTTCTCTCTCTTCCTCCATTTCACAGTGAACGTCTTAGGTCGTCGACTCGTCTCCTCCCATTCCTCATCTATGCGTGCGAGCAGGTCAGGCAGCAGGCTTTGCACTATGGGCTGGGGCATACAAAGCAGAGGGTGCAGGAAGAGCCAGGAGAAGGGAAAAGCGGTGACTGTTTGGATGCAATACCGAGTCAACAGGCCAGGCAGCAAACTTGGCACTATGAGCTGGTACAAACTGATTTAGAGGGGTGAGGGGCGAGGGGCGAGGAGAAGGGAAGAGCGTCGACAGTCTGAGTTACATTTTTCCCTGAATATTCCAGTGAGGGTCTTTCGCCTGAGACATCTATACATCTACACATCCACTCTACACACCTTAGCCTGTGCGAGGGAGTGGATGGGCAGGAACGAATCCTCTACTGATACGCTCTTGGCTGGACCCTTGCATGTTACAGGCGTGGGGTCGTAGGCTCGGCACGCACCAAAGAGGAATGGCGCTAGCTTCGGGCCGAGCCTGGCGGTGGTGAACGAAAAGGACACTCACATGCATACCCACGAAATCACGCCCCCACACAGGCAGGCACACACGTACTCGCGCACACGCACACATGCACACACAAGCGCGCGCAACCGCACACACACACAAGCCCAGCAACATGCACGCGCATCCATGAAACACGAAGGAATTGCAAATTACTGTCCATCTGACAAGCGTGTCAACCTAAAATGTCCACCAAGGGAGCCGAACTAGTGCACCGGACTAGACCAACTGATTAAGGCTGGCTACCAATCCAGCCTATCAATCTAGCACACGCAGACAAGGCTGCTTTACCATATCTGCAGGTCTTGAAGAGAGAAGGTGAGAAGACCCTTCATTACAGTCACACCCCTGGAGGCAAGCTGCTCCTCCAATCGCCTGCCGACACCTGGCACCTTCCTGACGGGCAGATTGGAGATGAAATCCATGGCTGCGGACGCGACAAGTGTCGTCTGGTCATTGGGCTTGTGGCGCGAGCTCACAAGCTTGGCTAGCATTTTCTGGAAAAAGGGTATGAAAGGGAAATACAGAGGGAAGGGATGTAGTGAGGAGAAGAAACGAATGAAAGATCAATTGGATGGAAGAGCAGAGGCATCAAAGTTACGCCACTCACGTTATGCGACACCCCACATGACATCTGGTACCCTGTCTCCCTGGACCAGGCGTAGTTTGAGTCTATTCAAAATGCACCACTCACGTTATGTGACACCCCACTCACATTATGAAACAGCGGCACCCCACTCACATTGTGCGACACCCCACAAGACATTTGATACCCCGTCTCCTCCTCCACTGCTCGCTTTGCCTGGCCGGCCAACCAACTGCCGGCTGCCAAGTGGCACTCTCCTGGCCCCAGAAACAGACAACGACCATTCTCACTTCCTCGTCCGCCTTCCCTTTCAATCTCAGCTGCTGCACCCCTCTCCACATGCCCAAGGAAGCCTTCCTTGAAGCTTCCTGCTGCCACCATGGTTGCCACTTGAGGTGATAGGTCCACAAACGCCTCGTCCAATCCGAGCCTGCCACGTGGGTGGAGATTAGTATCAATACACATGATGCAGGAGACGTGAGAGAGGGTGGAGGAGAGGGAAGGAGAGGAGGGAAAGGGAGAGTGGGCGCGACTGGGGAGGGGGGGAGAGGGAGGAAGGAACTGGGGGGGGAAGCAAGAAGGGCCTGAATGTGAAAGAAAAACAGGGAAAAGATTCCCCATTCCACTTGTGCCTTCAATATGAGGAGGAGAATTGAGCACCTTTCGAGTGTTCCGAACCGAGAGAGCACAGAGAAAATCTTCTTGCTGGCTGCCCTGTAAGGCGTGAGGTCCTCCCCATTCACCAGCACGATTTCTGGACACCTGAAAAAGCACGTTGACACGTGTTGTCAGTTTTACACACACAACTACCTGTGCGGCTGTCCTGTAGAGCGTGAGACCCCCCCCTATGACCAGCACGATTTCTGGACACCTGGGGCAGGCAGTGGGTGATGGCACGTACGGTGAGCACACACAACCGCCTGTGCGGCTTCCAAATAAGGCGTGAGGTAATCCCCATTGACCAGCACGACTTTTGAAAAACTAGGGAAAGCAGGGTCTCAGGGGCATGGCAAGTAGAGTAAGCACACAAGACCACCTGTGCATTGCGTATCCAAGCACTCACAATAAATTTCACTGGATCAGTACTAGCGTGGGTATTTTCGCTTCGATTCAACTGCTATAATCCGTGTACACCTGAACATGAAGGTCTAATCTAAACGATCCCGGCCTGCTTTCCTGGACCTTGCCTTGTTCGAGCATCATCAATCGAAGCCATCTTGGGGACTCCTCGAGCTCGAGCAGCATAATTGGCAGTCACCACCAGGAATTTCTGCCATGAAGGAAAAACTTCTTGCATTGTTTTATATCTGCTCACCACTACTAGAAACTTTTCAAAACGAATTCACTATTGGAACCTCTAATTCAAACGAGATGGTAATTAGTAACACTGGTATTGAGGTGGAAAATCATTAGTCCTGACACTCACCTGCGTGACGCCTAGAGGCCTGTCCTTCAACTCGGGCCGCCTCTGCTGCTCCACCTGTGCGTAGAAACAGTCAAGGTCCTGCCACGGCGAGGGATGGGTCAAGAGATGCGAAAGTAATTGTGGAAGTCCTGAAAACTGATAAGAATGAGCTCTCGTAACATGTTTGCTACGACGCGGACCCATTGCTGATAAATTCTCAAATTCTGATTCATTTCTACTAATACGATGTCTTAGTAGTACTAAGAAGAATCGTTCTTACGAAATGTGCTATGACGCGGTCCCATTGCTGAAACACGGATACCTCCATCGGTGTTAACATAAGCAAAGAGGCGAGTGAGGAAAAACATCGAAGCGGCAACAGAGCTGGAACGCTGAGACGAGAAGGGAAATGCATTCTAGGTTTTCGATTGGCGTCACTCAGACGCTTCTCAGAGCATTCAGGGTCTACAGTAAAATACGCACATGTTGGAATATATGTTAAAATGGAGTGGAAATGTAATGATATGTAAAAGAAAATTGAACAAAACATGAATTGAATTGTATGTATCTAGAAAAGAATATGTATTTAGCTCATTCCATCGAGATAATAAACATATTAACAGCAGTGGTAAAGTTCTGAGCTTCATATGTAGTTATTTCAGGTGCTTGCTGGTTTGCAAAGCGGTAAAATAAGGTGGAATTCACCTTTGTCTGCACCAAACACACCATAAATGGCCAATGATCCAGCCTCGGCAGAAGATCTGAAGCACAAACAGGAAGTATGTCAGGCACGGGCTGAACCAAACCTTAGCCGAGCCTCTGAGAACAGGTTCAGGTTTTGAAGTGCTGACCATAGGTGTTTTCGCGCCATTTCTGCGCGTCCGTACAGGCGCAGAGGAAAACGGGGGCAGAAAAGGGGAATCTAGTTTGGCAAACAGACTTGCGTCCTTCTGCGCCCTTTTTGCGCCATTTTTGCGCCAATTAGCTTCCGTAGGTTTCCGTGCATTCAAATCAAAAGGCTCCAGTTGGGTGTGGCTCCTCTGGTTCATCAGCTGCACCCATTCTGATCCACATTCACTTGCTGCTGACCTCGGCGGATCGTCGATCGTCGCCTCTTTCGATCTTTTCTGATTCCGCAGTAGTGACTCGTGAGCGCTGTGCTGCTTACAATTTATTATATTTCCTGCCCCCCCCCCTAAAGAAAGCACTTGTATAAACCCTGTAGTGATATCTGGTCCTGAACATTTGGTGACGCGATGCTTCCGTTTCAAAGCGGCGCGACGGCGTCGAGCGGATCAGGTTTCGGCGATCTCACGCCGCGGCACCGGCCGCTGTTCATCCGCACGCGGCAACGGCAAACTCCGCGCGGATCTGACGGTCGATACGATCCAACAGCTCACCAGCACAATCCCAATCGTACACTCGCCTCCGCATCCACAACCGCGTTCCAACAACACTCGACCCAACCGCATCCGCCGCCGCAGCACACGGCGTTTCAAACGCAACATACTCAAGCGTTCATTCAGCCGGCGCAGTACCAACCACAACAACAGCAGCAGCAGCAGCAGCAACACCAGTGGTCTTGGCAGCAGCACCCCCAGTACCAACAGCATCAGCACGTGCAGTCACAGCAGCAACCACTGCCTCGTCAGCAGCAGCAGCAGCAAGGCGACGGGGTGTTTAGATTCGGCGCGGGAGGGCACCAGCAGGGGCATATGGGACTCGGACCCGCCAAGTCGACGCTGTGGTCATGGAGCAAGGCCATGTGGAGCGATCCCAAGCAATGGCCGCGTACGTACGATTGATTCATTCAATATGCAATTCCTGTTATATACTAGATGGCATACCCTGCTGCGCTCGCCCCAGTCAAGTCGACGCTGTGGTCGTGGAGCAAGGCCATTTGGAGCGATCCGATGAAATGGCTACGCACGTCGTATTATCTTCCCTAAGTCGTGCCTCCTCGCTCTGCCTGTGTTCCACTCGGCTCAAACCCCTCAATTCTCCCCCTCCCCCCGCCCCTTCTTCTCCCTCACCCCCCTCGCTCCCCCCTCCCCACGTTGTCCCGCCGTGCTGCAGATGTGTATGAGGGGTGTCGGGACCGCATTGGGGAGGATCCAAACGCCATGCCTTCTCGCTCTGCGTGTGTTCTAAGCGGCTCAAACCCCAACCTCTCACCCACACCCCCCTTCTCCTCCCTCCCCCCTCACCTTTCCACTGTGTCCCGTCGTGCCGCAGATGTGTACGAGGGGTGTCAGGACCGGATTGGGGAGGACCCACGCGCCATTCCTCCTCGCAATGACCTCCACACGTGCACTCTGGTAACCATAATGCACTTTCTGGTAACCATAATGCACTTTCTGGTGTTTTTAATGCAACTGACAACCATAATGCACTTTTTGACAACCACCAGGCACTTTCTGGTAACCACCGTGTACGTCCTGATAGAAAAAAGGGGATAACTCAGGTACGCCTACATTGTGATGTGACTCTGTGCCCTGCTTCTCTCCCTGGCAGGTTCCACGCATAGGAAAGCGCAAGACGGTGACGGTGGCGACGACAGTGAAGAAGGGTGACTGCCTGTGGGGCATCAGTCGACAGCTGACAGGCACAGGCACCAATTGGAAAGGTGAGAGCTGTAATGGAAGGAGGTCAAGTTTTATAGTCGACTTGAAAACAGACAGTGGCGACAACAGTGAAGAAGGGCGACTGCCTGTGTGGAGCATCAGCCGACAACTGACTGGCACGGGGACCAACTGGAAGGGTGAGTAGGGTGTGAGGAGGGGGGAGGGTTCTGGTCTGGTTTGATTCGAAGAACGGTGACTGCCTGTGGAGCATCAGCCGACAACTGACTGGCACGGGCACCAACTGGAAAGGTGAGCAGGGTGTGAGGGGAAGGCTATGGTCTGGTTTGAAGGAGGGTGACTGCCTGTGGGGCATCATCAGACAAATGACTGGCAGGGGTATGGGGATTTCTGCTGCTTCTCATTCTGTCCTTATTCCACTCTTGTCACCATACTCTAACCTTCCTCCTTTCCTTGCTCCCCCCCCCCCTCTTCCCCCACTTATTCCCTCTCCCACTGCTCCCCTCCACACCAGACATTGTGAACGAGAATCGGCAATATTTCAAAAAGGCTAAATTTGACACTCCTATTGACGACGATCTTTTCATCATCCAGCCAGGCTGGAAGCTCAAGATGCCAGTCACTGCCCCCCCTCCTCCTGAAGACTGACTATCATGCTCCTCCTGACTCACTCTAGACTGCATTTGGTGATAACCACTGATGTCTATGTGTTCGGCTGCCTATGCCAACTGCAAATTGGCATTGGCAATAGCAATATTTCTGTGTCCTTGAGCTGGCCTGAGATTTGGCTGGCAGATGTTTTAGAACCATGATTTACATACGGTATCTGAAAAGAAATTGCCTTGTGGCTGTTATACATATTGTTGTACTAGTAACACTTCGAAATCACGGACTGACTAGGCCACCAAGGTGAAAAGGAATACAAGAGGGACACAATATAGCACTCATTCTGGTTCAAGCAGGCCCTAGCGGTATTCTGAACTATGTCACTACAAATTAAAGCATAGCGACAGCAAATGTTTGACTTATGAAATATGTGAACTCGACTCCATACACTACGGCGGATCGTATCGATACAAGCAACATGGAGCAAGCTTCACCAGACTTCCCGCCTTGCACAGCACAGCCCGCCTGCATCCCCGCCAAATCCGAAGAGGAGCCTTCGTTCGGTTAGCACCTTCCAAACCAAGGAGGTTCGGCAGAGCCCATCTGACTGTTCCAGCCAATCCAGCGGTGTCTCAGCCTTCGCGATGGCCATCCGAATGCGAGGGACATGTGTGGACACATCCGTCGCATGGGTCGTCGCCCAGTCAGGTTCTGTGACTCGTGCGACAGCAAGTTCTGGTTTGGTGCACCTTGAGTAGTCCTGTTCAGAAGGAGCACTCCCCTGACGTGGCGCGAACTTCCCAAGGCTGTATTGACATCGCCTTCCCCACTAGCGCTTCCTGTGTTTCATTGGTCGGTTTGGAAGACAGGAGTCGCAACGCAACGCGGCTTAGGGCTTTCGCTAGGCCATCGTTGGCCCTCCCCAACCTCTTCCCAAGCTCGTGTTGCCTCGGAAACGCTGAATACCTCTCTAAACCACACAGAAAACCAGTAGACCCCTATGACAGACTGACATGACACTCACTCCTAGAGACTGCCGATTTGCAGCACTCACGCCGATTCCCACCACCACCTTCCTAAGATCACCACTGCATCCCAGTTCTCCCAGCTCTGCTCTGTCTGTACTTGCCCATACCTGCCTTTCATATGGCCACTACACACACTCTCGTTTCACAGTTTTAGCTGCACTGTGTGGAGTTGTTGTCCACGCATGTGCTTAGTCATCAGATGCGATGCGACACGATAGTGACGTAGTTTGGGTCTCTCATGGCTGTTCTCTTTCCTCCATAGGCGCTCTGAACGTTTTCTGTCCATGTCACGGAAACGATTACAGCTACTGATTGGATCATGAACGCACTTAGACTCAAAGCTCGTGTTTGAAGAATGCCGAACAGCTTGACTATTTTCCAAAAATTAGCGATCAAATCACGGCTAATTCCTTGCATAATTCCCGTCTAGCTGCTCGTTAGACGCCTTTTACGGTTTTCCATCAACTCGCATCAAACGAGACTGGAAGTGTGTGTGTTGTATAAGCGGTGTGTTACAGCGTTGTTGAATAAGCGGCGCGTACGTTATTATAAGCGGTACGTACGCTATATAAGCGGTGGCAATGGCGGAACAGCCAGCCGTCAACGTGCATCTTCACGCCGCTCCGCACAACCACCTCCTCCACCTCCACCACCATACATCAGATCCTAACTCTGCTGCTCCACAAAGTTACGAATCATCCCCATTGCACGCAGCTCCGTGTAACGACAGGCTTCCAGGCGATCAGTCGATTTCGTGTAGACCTGCAGCTGCGCCTAAGACTGGCAATGCTCACAATCCGGTGATGGTCGTCGGGGGATTGGTGATCGGGGGAACGGTGATCGGGGGAGCGGAAGCGGGGGAGGGGAAGCGAACGGTGCGGAAGGCGCATGCGGACGGCAGCAGGTGGCTTAGGGGGAAGACATACGAGGGGAAGAGAGTGGTTCCGCTGAGCTTCCGCGCGTCCATGTTTCTCCTGTTTGCCGGGATTATGATGGTTGCCGTCTCGTTCAAGTCGATTCCTGCACTTAACAAGGTACGTTCTCAAAACAAAGTGCGTGAAGCATTTTGAACTCGTTGCATCGAAGTTATGTCTGCTAGCCAGTGTTATCATGTTGACCGACTTGCTGAAATGGTTAACATGCTGAAACAAGCGACGTACGCGCCTCAAGACGCAACAGAACACCCTAAATTCCTCGCATCTGATTTCTCCTCGGCGGAGCTCTGATGGTGGCCGTTTCGTCCATTGAGTCGATTTCAAACCGTTTTCCAGCAAGGTACGTTCATGCTTGCGAAGCTTCGATCAGAGTCCGTACTGCGTGCGTGCGACTTCGGTTTGAAATGGCTCGTGGTTGGAACCAAAAGAACTAAGGTCACATACGCGACATAAATAAGCCCTCAGGCCTGTTTAACTGTTATCAGAACACGACATGCTTAACTGTCGCCGATTGTCATGTTGATTTGACTGATCATGTGCCACCGAGTGCTTTTCCGTTCCTATAAGCCCCTCCATTCGACATCCGTACATCAGGGGCAACTCAATTGCGTTCATTTGTGTTCATTTTTCGTGCACTTGCCACCCATTTATTGCATCAGGGTAAGATTGTGCCTGCGGGCGAAATCGTGAACGGAAACGGCGGCGCGCAGCACGCGTTATTCTCGAGCCGCAACTTAAGAGGCGGCCACGCTGGAATTTTTATTGCGGGATCCGGTGACGATCTGGGATTGGACGAGGATCCGCCGCCGCCACACACGGCGGGAATCGCGGAGAGTGCAAATGACAGGCGCCGTGTCACCAGGGTAACTGCAAGTTCGCAATTTGGTACGGAGTTGGATTCTATATTTGGTTCGGAATCAGGCTCGGGTTTTCAGTCTGTGGAGAAAGCGCTTTCAGAGGGACAAGGAGTGGAGGGACGCGGTGTGAAGGGGAGGAGTGGGGATGGGGATGGGTTGTTGAGGAAGGGGGAAGTGAATGGGCTTTCGAGGAGGGATATTGTGGATGGTGTTTTGAAGAGAAGGAGCATGAAGGCGGAAGGAAGAGGCGGTTTGGGAGAGGAGGGGAGGGAAAGAGGCGGGGCAGGGAGCGGGGATAGTGAGGGAGAGGACGAGTACAAGGGAGGGGAGAGTGAAGGGGATGGTGCTGGGGAGGAGACACGTGAGGGACGGAGAGAGAGTGCGAGAGGTGGAGTTGGGGGGAGTGGTGGGATACGGAGGACGAACGAGAAGGAGGAGGAGGAGGAAGAAGCAGAGGGAGTACGGAAAATTAGAAGGGTGGGGGCTAGTGGGGACGGCTCACTTGGGGAGGATGAGGAAACGGAGGAGCATAGGGAAGAGTTGAAGCATGGGGAGGAGGAAAGACGAGGGGTGGGTGCAGAGAGGAAGAGGGAAGATGATGAGGATGTGGAGGGCGGGGAGGGTGAAGGGGAGGGGGAGGGAGGGGGAGATTATAGAGGGAAAAGGAGCCGTATTGCGGGCGTGGCGGTGGAAGGGGGGAAAGTGGACGAGGAGCATGAGGAGCACGAGGAACAGAGGGATGAGGAGGGGAAGGGTATGGGCGGCAGAGATCGCGGGAGTGGTGGTAGTGAGGAGCAAGAAGGAAGATTAGTAATAGGGTCAAAGGAGGAAGGAACAGGGGGTTGGGTTGGTTCCCGTGACGGGGAAGGGAATCACGGGCGACGAGAAGAGGAGGAGGATAGTGAGCAGAGGGCAGCAGGAGAGGAGCATGAGGATGGGGCGAGGGAGCATGAGGAGGGGACGAAGGAGCATGAGGAGGGAACGAAGGAGCATGAGGAGGGGACGAAAGAGCATGGGCATAGAGGAATGGAGGATCAGGAATACGGTGACGAGGAACGAGGGGGACACGAGCAGCATACAGGCGAGGGGAGGCATGAAGACGCGAATGAAGAGAGCAGATCCACATTCTCCTCCTCCTCCTCCTCTTCTCTCACCTCCTCCCTGGTCGCCCCACTTTCCCCTCTCAGTGATTACTCTCACTCCTCCTCCTCCGTCCCTCTGCCTCCGTTTGGATTCAACGCCTCTCTCTCCCACGCGCCCCCTGTACCCTTTAAAGAGAGATTCCTTTGGAGAGCCCCCAAGAGCCAGAAATATGCACAGTGCATTGCGCGTTCCCGCACCCATAAAGGTATGTGAGGGGGTATGGGGAGAAGAGGGGTTGGGAAAGTCAGGAGGAGGGACGGGGAAAGGAGAAAGGAAGAGGGAAGGGAAGAAAAAAGGGAAGAGGGAGGGGAGAGAGAAGGGAGAATGGAAGGGAGAATGGAAGGGAGAATGGAAGGGAGGAGGGAAGGGAGGAGGGAACGGAAGCAAGCGGGGAAGATAAGGGGAAAGTGGAAAGGGGAGGATGGTTGGTGAAGTTGAATATATCAGCCCAAGCTTGTTAAGAGAGATTCGTGAGGACCTGAAAAGCCGTGTTGCTATTGATTCGACTCAAACTTCAGCAAAATCTTTTGAACTCACTCAACCTCCTCCAACCCGACCCAACCGCTCTCCACCCCGTGCTCCACTACCCCTGCCTGCATCCATTTTCCGTTTCGTTCTCGCACTGCACTAGTGTTACTCCCGTTCCTGGCGTATATTTATATTTTTTTACCTAGAATGGGCCTTCGCCACTCCCCGTCCCTCCCTTCCCCCTCCCTTCCCCCTTTCCTCTCCCCTAGTGCCTGTCAACAGCTATCTGCTGATCACAGCGAATGGATTCCCCCCTTTGCCCCTGCTCCTCTTCCCCCACCCGCTTTCCCCCTTCCCCCCTTCCCCCCTCCCGCTTTCCCGCCCTCCCGCCCTCCCGCCCTCCCGCCCTCTTCCCCAGTGCCGGTCAAGGGCTCCACCAACGGCTATCTGCTGGTCACAGCCAATGGGGGTCTCAACCAGATGAGAGCTGCTGTGAGTGTGGGGTGTGAGTGTGGGGCCTTGGGTGTGGGGCTGTTAGTGTGGGGTGTGAGTGCTGGGCTGTAGTTGAGTGCGGCTATCTGCTGGTCACAGCCAATGGGGGTCTCAACCAGATAGGAGCTGCTGTGAGTGTGGGGTGTGAGTGCGGGGCTGTGAGTGTGGGGCTGTGAGTGGGGTACGACTGGGGGATGTGCGTGTGGGATGTGAGTGGGGGGCTGTGACTGTGGGTTGAGGTGTGAGTGGGGGGCTGTGAGTGGGGGGCTGTGACTGTGGGTTGAGGTGTGAGTGGGGGGCTGTGAGTGGGGGGCTGTGAGTGGGGGGCTGTGACTGTGGGTTGAGGTGTGAGTGGGGGGCTGTGAGTGGGGGGCTGTGACTGTGGGGTGTGATTGCAAGGCTGTGGGTGTGGGGCGTTTTTTTCTTTTCCCAGTTTCACTTTGGGAGCGGAGGATGGGGGAGTTTGGAGAGTGGAAAGGATTAAGAAGGGGGATATTCTAATGATAACGAACCGTATGGTGACTCAAAATATAGTAGGGGAAAAAAAAAAAAGGGAAACAAAATAAAACATGAAAGAAGAGAATGGCAAAGCAACCAGCAGCTGCATGGTTTTTCACTTCACACATAAAACATATGTGTCAGCCTTTCCATTCCCCTCTCCCCACTCAGATCTGTGACATGGTGGCTGTGGCTCGCATTATGAATGTCACCCTCGTGGTTCCCTTGTGACAGACATGCCATTTTGCTTTCTCCGTCTTCTCCCATCAACCCCTCCTCACCCCCCTTCAAATCTGTGACATGGTGGCAGTAGCACACATCATGCATGTAACTCTCGTGGTTCCTTCGTGACATACCATGCCACTTGCCCAATCATTCTCCCCATTCCCCATTCCTCTCCCCTATCCCCCCTCAGATCTGTGACATGGTGGCTGTAGCTCGCATCATGAATGTCACTCTCGTGGTTCCAGAGCTCGACCACACCTCCTTCTGGGCCGACCCAAGGTCAGTGCCTTCCCCCCTCTATGGTCGCTCCTGTCCTATTCTCCAAAACGGTCTACAAACAATGGCTCTCGTTCTCCTTCCTGAGCTCGACCACACCTCCTTCTGGGCCGACCCAAGGTCAGTGCCTTCCCCCCTCTATGGTCGCTCCTGTCCTATTCTCCAAAACGGTCTACAAACAATGGCTCTCGTTCTCCTTCCTGAGCTCGACCACACCTCCTTCTGGGCCGACCCAAGGTCAGTCCGTCCTGACTCCTGTCCGTCGGGTTACTTGGTAATCAATCAGTTGCCTTCTGGATCATTTCGTCAGCTCGCTCAAGAAGGACATTCAAATCGTGCTCCTCTCTGTCCCTCGCTGCACCGCTCTGCGCCCCTCTCCCTCTCCCCATACCCTTCCCAACCCAGTGAGTTTGAGGACATATTCGACCTGGACCATTTCATCAGCTCGCTCAAGAAGGACATTTGCATCGTGCGCCTCTCTGCCTCACTCTGCACCCCTCTGCATCCCTCTGCACCCCTCTCCCTGCTACTGCTCCCCTATCCCCCAGTGAGTTTGAGGACATATTCGACCTGGACCATTTCATCAGCTCGCTCAAGAAGGACATTTGCATCGTGCGCCTCTCTGCCTCACTCTGCACCCCTCTGCATCCCTCTGCACCCCTCTCCCTGCTACTGCTCCCCTATCCCCCAGTGAGTTTGAGGACATATTCGACCTGGACCATTTCATCAGCTCGCTCAAGAAGGACATTCGCATCGTGCGCCAGCTGCCCAAGCGCGTGGCACACATCGAACCTCTAGAGAAGTTCCCCGTCTCCTGGTCGCCGGTGAGCTGCTTTTGTCGCATTGCTTGTTAGATGTATTGCACTCTCTTGCTCTGTTGTTCTCTTACTATCAGAAGGACCTGCCCCGAGTTCTCTTACTATCAGAAGGACCCCCGCGGGTCAAGAAGCACCGAGTGATGCGCTTCCCTCTCACCAAAGCGCGTGTGGCTGGCTGACTGGCTGGCTGGCTCGTTGGTTGGCTAGGAGGCTGCTTAACGACCGTCTCTTACCCTCCCCTCCCTTCCAGTTCTCCTACTACCGAGAGGACCTGCTCCCACGGGTGAAGAAGCACCGGGTGATGCGCTTCCCTCTCACCGACTCGCGGCTTGCCAACAACGGCGTGCCGGACTCGATCCAACGGCTGCGGTGCCGCGCCAACTACAAGTCGCTGCGCTACACGCCGTCGATCTCGCAGATCGCGGCGAATCTGATCTCGAGATTGCACGCCAGGGGCCCGTACATTGCGCTGCACTTGAGGTGGGTCATGTGATGAGTTTCTTGCTCATTGCTCATTGCTTCTTGCTCATTGCTTATTGCTCATTGCTTCTTGCTCATTGCTTCTTGCTTGGCTTATAAGGGGGCAGGATGATTATATGAGTTGCGGCAAGAGATTCCACGCCAGGGGCCCATACATTGCGTTGCACTTGAGGTGGGTCATGTGATGAGTTTCGTGCTTATTGCTGCTTGCTTTTCGTTGTGAAGAAAGCTTTTACTTTCGAGAACGAGAAGGATTCAGAGAAATCGACCCAACTTCCAATGTCAATTCCACCCCCTCTCCTCTCTCCCCTGTCACTAAACTCCCAGATACGAGAAAGACATGTTGGCATTTACAGGGTGCGACCACGGGCTGAGGGAGGGTGAGAGGGAGGAATTAAAGGCCATGCAGCTCAACAACTCGCGGTGGAAGGAGAAGGAGATTGACCCACCGCCCCCTTCCCCCCTTCCACCCCTGTCCCTCTCTATCTTTCTCTCCCCTGTGGCCGCTACTCAGATACGAAAAAGACATGCTGGCGTTCCCAGGGTGCGACCGCGGTGGAAGGAGGAGATTGAGGAGATTGACACACCTTCCCCTTTCCCCCTTCCACACCCTCTCCCCTGTTACTAAACACCCAGATACGAGAAGGACATGCTGGCATTCACAGGGTGCGACCGCGGTGGAAGGAGGAGATTGAGGAGATTGACACACCTTCCCCTTTCCCCCTTCCACACCCTCTCCCCTGTTACTAAACACCCAGATACGAGAAGGACATGCTGGCATTCACAGGGTGCGACCGCGGTGGAAGGAGGAGATTGAGGAGATTGACACACCTTCCCCTTTCCCCCTTCCACACCCTCTCCCCTGTTACTAAACACCCAGATACGAGAAGGACATGCTGGCATTCACAGGGTGCGACCGCGGTGGAAGGAGGAGATTGAGGAGATTGACACACCTTCCCCTTTCCCCCTTCCACACCCTCTCCCCTGTTACTAAACACCCAGATACGAGAAGGACATGCTGGCATTCACAGGGTGCGACCGCGGTGGAAGGAGGAGATTGAGGAGATTGACACACCTTCCCCTTTCCCCCTTCCACACCCTCTCCCCTGTTACTAAACACCCAGATACGAGAAGGACATGCTGGCATTCACAGGGTGCGACCGCGGTGGAAGGAGGAGATTGAGGAGATTGACACACCTTCCCCTTTCCCCCTTCCACACCCTCTCCCCTGTTACTAAACACCCAGATACGAGAAGGACATGCTGGCATTCACAGGGTGCGACCGCGGTGGAAGGAGGAGATTGAGGAGATTGACACACCTTCCCCTTTCCCCCTTCCACACCCTCTCCCCTGTTACTAAACACCCAGATACGAGAAGGACATGCTGGCATTCACAGGGTGCGACCGCGGTGGAAGGAGGAGATTGAGGAGATTGACACACCTTCCCCTTTCCCCCTTCCACACCCTCTCCCCTGTTACTAAACACCCAGATACGAGAAGGACATGCTGGCATTCACAGGGTGCGACCGCGGTGGAAGGAGGAGATTGAGGAGATTGACACACCTTCCCCTTTCCCCCTTCCACACCCTCTCCCCTGTTACTAAACACCCAGATACGAGAAGGACATGCTGGCATTCACAGGGTGCGACCGCGGTGGAAGGAGGAGATTGAGGAGATTGACACACCTTCCCCTTTCCCCCTTCCACACCCTCTCCCCTGTTACTAAACACCCAGATACGAGAAGGACATGCTGGCATTCACAGGGTGCGACCGCGGTGGAAGGAGGAGATTGAGGAGATTGACACACCTTCCCCTTTCCCCCTTCCACACCCTCTCCCCTGTTACTAAACACCCAGATACGAGAAGGACATGCTGGCATTCACAGGGTGCGACCGCGGTGGAAGGAGGAGATTGAGGAGATTGACACACCTTCCCCTTTCCCCCTTCCACACCCTCTCCCCTGTTACTAAACACCCAGATACGAGAAGGACATGCTGGCATTCACAGGGTGCGACCGCGGTGGAAGGAGGAGATTGAGGAGATTGACACACCTTCCCCTTTCCCCCTTCCACACCCTCTCCCCTGTTACTAAACACCCAGATACGAGAAGGACATGCTGGCATTCACAGGGTGCGACCGCGGTGGAAGGAGGAGATTGAGGAGATTGACACACCTTCCCCTTTCCCCCTTCCACACCCTCTCCCCTGTTACTAAACACCCAGATACGAGAAGGACATGCTGGCATTCACAGGGTGCGACCGCGGTGGAAGGAGGAGATTGAGGAGATTGACACACCTTCCCCTTTCCCCCTTCCACACCCTCTCCCCTGTTACTAAACACCCAGATACGAGAAGGACATGCTGGCATTCACAGGGTGCGACCGCGGTGGAAGGAGGAGATTGAGGAGATTGACACACCTTCCCCTTTCCCCCTTCCACACCCTCTCCCCTGTTACTAAACACCCAGATACGAGAAGGACATGCTGGCATTCACAGGGTGCGACCGCGGTGGAAGGAGGAGATTGAGGAGATTGACACACCTTCCCCTTTCCCCCTTCCACACCCTCTCCCCTGTTACTAAACACCCAGATACGAGAAGGACATGCTGGCATTCACAGGGTGCGACCGCGGTGGAAGGAGGAGATTGAGGAGATTGACACACCTTCCCCTTTCCCCCTTCCACACCCTCTCCCCTGTTACTAAACACCCAGATACGAGAAGGACATGCTGGCATTCACAGGGTGCGACCGCGGTGGAAGGAGGAGATTGAGGAGATTGACACACCTTCCCCTTTCCCCCTTCCACACCCTCTCCCCTGTTACTAAACACCCAGATACGAGAAGGACATGCTGGCATTCACAGGGTGCGACCGCGGTGGAAGGAGGAGATTGAGGAGATTGACACACCTTCCCCTTTCCCCCTTCCACACCCTCTCCCCTGTTACTAAACACCCAGATACGAGAAGGACATGCTGGCATTCACAGGGTGCGACCGCGGTGGAAGGAGGAGATTGAGGAGATTGACACACCTTCCCCTTTCCCCCTTCCACACCCTCTCCCCTGTTACTAAACACCCAGATACGAGAAGGACATGCTGGCATTCACAGGGTGCGACCGCGGTGGAAGGAGGAGATTGAGGAGATTGACACACCTTCCCCTTTCCCCCTTCCACACCCTCTCCCCTGTTACTAAACACCCAGATACGAGAAGGACATGCTGGCATTCACAGGGTGCGACCGCGGTGGAAGGAGGAGATTGAGGAGATTGACACACCTTCCCCTTTCCCCCTTCCACACCCTCTCCCCTGTTACTAAACACCCAGATACGAGAAGGACATGCTGGCATTCACAGGGTGCGACCGCGGTGGAAGGAGGAGATTGAGGAGATTGACACACCTTCCCCTTTCCCCCTTCCACACCCTCTCCCCTGTTACTAAACACCCAGATACGAGAAGGACATGCTGGCATTCACAGGGTGCGACCGCGGTGGAAGGAGGAGATTGAGGAGATTGACACACCTTCCCCTTTCCCCCTTCCACACCCTCTCCCCTGTTACTAAACACCCAGATACGAGAAGGACATGCTGGCATTCACAGGGTGCGACCGCGGTGGAAGGAGGAGATTGAGGAGATTGACACACCTTCCCCTTTCCCCCTTCCACACCCTCTCCCCTGTTACTAAACACCCAGATACGAGAAGGACATGCTGGCATTCACAGGGTGCGACCGCGGTGGAAGGAGGAGATTGAGGAGATTGACACACCTTCCCCTTTCCCCCTTCCACACCCTCTCCCCTGTTACTAAACACCCAGATACGAGAAGGACATGCTGGCATTCACAGGGTGCGACCGCGGTGGAAGGAGGAGATTGAGGAGATTGACACACCTTCCCCTTTCCCCCTTCCACACCCTCTCCCCTGTTACTAAACACCCAGATACGAGAAGGACATGCTGGCATTCACAGGGTGCGACCGCGGTGGAAGGAGGAGATTGAGGAGATTGACACACCTTCCCCTTTCCCCCTTCCACACCCTCTCCCCTGTTACTAAACACCCAGATACGAGAAGGACATGCTGGCATTCACAGGGTGCGACCGCGGTGGAAGGAGGAGATTGAGGAGATTGACACACCTTCCCCTTTCCCCCTTCCACACCCTCTCCCCTGTTACTAAACACCCAGATACGAGAAGGACATGCTGGCATTCACAGGGTGCGACCGCGGTGGAAGGAGGAGATTGAGGAGATTGACACACCTTCCCCTTTCCCCCTTCCACACCCTCTCCCCTGTTACTAAACACCCAGATACGAGAAGGACATGCTGGCATTCACAGGGTGCGACCGCGGTGGAAGGAGGAGATTGAGGAGATTGACACACCTTCCCCTTTCCCCCTTCCACACCCTCTCCCCTGTTACTAAACACCCAGATACGAGAAGGACATGCTGGCATTCACAGGGTGCGACCGCGGTGGAAGGAGGAGATTGAGGAGATTGACACACCTTCCCCTTTCCCCCTTCCACACCCTCTCCCCTGTTACTAAACACCCAGATACGAGAAGGACATGCTGGCATTCACAGGGTGCGACCGCGGTGGAAGGAGGAGATTGAGGAGATTGACACACCTTCCCCTTTCCCCCTTCCACACCCTCTCCCCTGTTACTAAACACCCAGATACGAGAAGGACATGCTGGCATTCACAGGGTGCGACCGCGGTGGAAGGAGGAGATTGAGGAGATTGACACACCTTCCCCTTTCCCCCTTCCACACCCTCTCCCCTGTTACTAAACACCCAGATACGAGAAGGACATGCTGGCATTCACAGGGTGCGACCGCGGTGGAAGGAGGAGATTGAGGAGATTGACACACCTTCCCCTTTCCCCCTTCCACACCCTCTCCCCTGTTACTAAACACCCAGATACGAGAAGGACATGCTGGCATTCACAGGGTGCGACCGCGGTGGAAGGAGGAGATTGAGGAGATTGACACACCTTCCCCTTTCCCCCTTCCAC